ACCGAGTAACCATCACATTTCTAACGTGTTTCAATTTTGTCACTTTTCATATTCTTATATATAAGGCGAGATCGTAATTGTGGAAATCAACCGTCAAATCCAAATAAATAATGATTGGTAAAACATTCTCTTACAAGGAACCCTTCATTGAAGGAAAAAGATAATCAATTGTGTAAAACACAGTAACAATTACTTTTTGTTCTTGCAGGGAAAAAATTAATTATTATGTTCTAAATAAAGAAATCGAATATGTTGTGTGTGAGTGATAAAAATAATTGAATTAACGATAACTTTAGTGGAAATACACCATGTGAAAAATAAACTGAACAATTTTATCTGTGTCAGATATAGCACGATCTTATCAAAAAAAAAAAAAAATTTTTAATGCCTGGCATATCAGCAAACAAATATAAAGAGCATTCAGGAATTATAAGTGGATTGAGTAACTACTCTATATTTCTTCCCCATGCACTTTTTTGAAAGGAGATCACTTAAAAGGGGATCCTTTAGGAAATTGGCTTAGATTTGTAAAATCTTTGTCCATAAATTTATTTGTAGGAGATTATTGTGTGACTTTTAATTCGTTTCACATTAATACACATTTAAGTACATCTCGATATATTGACAATTAATTATAAAGTACATCATATACCATAAATAATCAATAAAACAATACATCCTTTTTTTTTTTTTTTTTTATTTATTTATGGTTGAGTAATCTTCAATACATTTCGTGCAATTCTTGAAAAAACCTATATAAAGACATCAAGTCGTTAATATTTTTTTTTTTTTTCACTGACCCTCGGTCATTTGACAAAGCATTTTTCATTTTGGAATTTCCCCTTTTTTCAAAGATATTCTGTTGACCAGGTTATAAAAAAAAATAAGGACGAAAATCCAAATATTATTTTTGTTGAAAAACACTATTAATTTGTTAAAATTTGAAGTAAAGATTTTTTTATCTACAATGTATACGAATAAAGTTATCTCGGCAATATCAATATTGCTAGCACTATCTACTTCTATACTAAACGTTGAAGCGCAACTTAAAGGAAAGTATCCTCCAGTCGATAAACCTCCGCCACTTGATGCTACTTGGACCGCTCTTGTTGATCAATCGAAACTTATTAAAGCTCCTCTCAGAGTTCCTGGACAATGTAATCCTGTTGACACGTATTGTGTTTGGTCTTGCACAAATTGTTTGAGAACTGAATCCGATGTTCAATATTGTCCTGATAAGAAAGGTAGATAACAAAATTCACTTTATGTTCGAATATTATTATTTACTAATCATATCTTTTGTTTTAGAACGATTTATCTAATAATTAATAAATTCAACACCTTTTTTTTTTTACTAAACCATATTCTAACAACAAACATTTTGAATCAATGCGTGGAACTTTTCTATTTTGGCTAAATTATAATGTGATGCGTAAATAATAACCGATTATACTTTATTTTATTTTTTAAAGAAATCAAATGGATTTCACTCAAAGAAAGCTAAAGTAAGAACATAAAAGATTATGTGTCCCTAATGGAGTTGATAAATAATTCCAAAAATGAGATAGTTTATATTTCATAATAATAATAATAATATATGATTTCGAATAAGGTGGTTCGACTTTTATCGTACAAATATGGTTGTGGTATAAATAATGATTTAATTGCCGCTTCCCTATTCATGACAAACTGTACATCTTGTTACACGAATTTAATGAATTAATTAAAACTCTAAACGTAGTTGGTGATCGTAATTGAGGATACGTTACATATCAAAAAGATAAAATTTCCACAAAAGTGTTCAAGACTCATTTGTTAAGAAATAAACTTTTACTAACAATAAAAAATCCTTCAACAAAATATTTCATAGGTACTAACTTGTTATTATTATGTAACCAATCGTAATGGACAAACAGCTTGCATTTATCTACAAAATGTATTCGAGTTCTAACCTTTTAAACAATAGTTATTTATATAGTAATAAA